TCCTGGAAGCCTCCTGCAGTCTGGATCCTGGGTTGGGGTGACACGGGGGATTCCAGCTGTTCACAGACCCCACAGACAGCCCCATGGGGTGAGGGACTGGGGCAGAGGGGAGGGTGGAGGTTGGGTGGGGTCCGAGAAGCTTTCTCCAGGAGATGGAATAAGCAGCTGCTGGGCTGGGTGCACAGAGAGCTCTGAGCATTGAGAGCTACTTCATCTCCCTCCTGGACCACTGCAGTCCTCTCCTCCTGCCTCTCCCCCTCCTTCCTCCCGAGCCCCTCCAATCCACGCAGCCTGCCGCAGCCAGAGCAATGCTTCCAAACCGTAAATCAGATCACATCACTCCCCACTCCCCTGCTCCCCCCCAAGCTTCCCATCATGTGCGGGAGTGAAGCCAAACCCTGGCCTCAGCACAGGCCTGGCCTGCCCAGCCTGGGGGTGGGCGGGGAAGGGTGGATCCTTTGCACCTCTGCAAACTCATCACCCCTACTCCCTTCACCACCTCCCTCTAAGCTCCAGCCACACTGATCTCTTCACTACTTCCTGAATGCTAAGCTCCTTCCCGGTTCAGAGCTTTTGCACCAGCCTTTTCCTCCTTCTAGAAGGCTCTTCCCCCCAGCTCCTTCTCATCACTGAGGTCTCAGCTCAGAGAGGCCTTCCCCCGGTAGTTTATTCAAACACCCCCTTTTATCTTTTTGGTTGAATCAAGACCAACTTTGTCTTGTTGGCTTGTTTACATGTTTTGTGTCTGTCTCTCGCCAATGAATGCAGGTATCCCTGTTCATGGCCATATCCTCGGAGCTAGGACAGGGTCAACCCAGCGCATAGTAGGTACTCAGTCAATTGAACAAGGAAAGGAGCCTTCCCTGGCAGCGGGGCCGCAGCTCAGCGAAAAGACTGAACCCTGCATAGTTGTTTCAGTGGAAACTCGAGTTTCCTGTGGCCCTGAGACTTCAGCCAGGCGGGCGGTGCCAGGATCGCAGGGCCCACTCTTCCAGGGGGGACACCGAGGCTCAGAGAGGGGACAGCTGGGCCTGCTGGAGGTTACCAGCACCGCAGCGGCAGCTAGCAGAAGCTTCTGGCTCCCAGCATGAGCAGGGCATTCGCCCTCAGCTGCCGGGAGCCCCAGGATGGGGCCTTGGAAATCAACACAGCCAGACTTTTCCATTTTCCAAGAAAGCAAAGGGCAGTGTGACCTTGGGCAGGCTGCCCGCTGCCTCAGAGCTCCGGCCTCTCTTAGGTGCCCATGAGGGGCCTGGGGACCCCTCACCGAGAGCTGATGCCCAGGCCCAGAAAAGCCTCATCAACTGTAGAAAGGGTACACAGCCCCTCTCACTGCTGGTGCTGACACACACAGGCAGCTGTTTTCTCCCCAGGCCCAGCTGCTCACCACCTGGGCTGGTGGGGGTGAAGCCAGAACCGGGCCTCCTGGGGCAGCTGGGCCGGCACCTGCTCCAGCTCATCCCCTGGCACCCCAGAGCCTGCAGCAGGACGCGCACCCAGAGGCTGCCTGGAACTGCCCTCCGCAGGTGCCTGGGCTCTGGCTGGTGGCCCCGGAGGAGCTGTTGGAGCTGGGAGAAGGGTAGGGGCCTGGGCTGCAGCCACGCACTCACTGCTGCCCTATGGGATCGGCCCTGTCTCTGCGGGTGTGTCCCATGCGCCATGCGGAGATGGCTGGGGGGATTGTGTGTGACGAAGAAGGATATACAGCTATGGAGTGCCCAGTACTGAACCCCAGCACACAGCAGTCTGAAGATTTTGAGTCAGGCCACCTGTCTCTGATCCTGGCCACCACCTCTTGCGGGCTGGGCGACCTTGGGCACATTCCTTAACCTCTCTGGGCCTCAGTTTCCCCCCTCTGGTAAATGAGGATGATGCAAGTCCGTAGCCAGAGGACTGCGGTGTGCAAAGTTGAGGAGTAAACCCAGACAGAACCAGGCACAAAGGAAGTGCTCAAGAAATGTCAGAGATGATTATCAGGAAGGAGGTGATGGTGCAGGGTCGTGCCACTAAACAGGTGTGTGCACACCTGTGTGATGGACGGCCAGGCCATGGTGGGTGACTGTGACAGAGGCAAAGCACACGTCTGCCTGTGGTTCTGTGTCTCTGTTTCAGGGTTGCGTGTGAGCTGGAGTTCTGAGCAAGCACAGCGGGCTGCGTGCCCGTGTGTGGGGTGGGTAGACGCGTGTGCTCTGCCGTGTGCATGCTCCGGCACACGGGTGTGATATGTACATGATGTAGCTGGCTGTGCTCATGGTAATGTATCCTGCAAGAGCCCCGCAAGCTCTGGAGAAGATGTGTTTGTGGAGACGTCTGCAGGGGCAGGGCTGGGGAGCGGCTCGCTGCACCTGTGCCTTGCGGGAAGGTGTGTGTGTGTGTGTGTGTGTGTGTGTGTGTGTGTGTGTGTGTGTGTGTTGGGGGGACAGGACAGGAATCTATAGCTCTCACCATCCAATTTGGGGGTGTAGAGTCTAGCAACGAATATTTAATTGCACCCTACTGTGTGTAGAGGAGGTGGGGGCTCTCTGGGAAGGGGCGGTCCTGGGGGGTGAGGGGAGAGGTACCCTTGGGGGGCGGAGCCCCATCACCGGGGTACTGGGGCAAGCAGGAGTGGAGTCAGGGTTCGGGGATCTGGCGGCGGAGAGGAGCGGTGGGGGAGGGCAGGGGGAGGGGGCGGAGCCGGCGTGGGGGGGATGGGCGAGGTTTGGGGGCGCGGGGAGGGGCGATGTCTCCTCCGCCGGCTCCCGGAGGGAGGGGAGAGGGCGGAGGGAGGGAGAGAGGGAGGGAGGGAGAGAGAGGGAGAGACCGGGTGAGGGAGAGACAGCGAGAGCGAGAGAGCAAGCCGGGAGGCAGAGGAGGCGCGGAGCGGGCGGCGGCGGCGGCGGCGGCGGCGGCGGCAG